TCTTGGATAAATGAATAAAGCACTACGTTTGCATGAAGTAGTTTAAAAACAGAAACATCGCTGTTTTTTTTTTAAGTGGTTATCTTTTAATAAGGTAATTCCACGGCTATCAGTGATGACTCAGTTCCTCCGCAGTTACTGTGTGTGCCTATTAGAAATCTAAATGCTTGTCACGTCAATTAAGCTAGTGAGAATTTCCAGATTTTAACGGGAACACAGCAGGCTTTTAAGGTGATTGATGACTTGAACGGGAAGATCTCTCTCCCTTATGGCGTCCTTCATGTCTAGACACAGTCTAATATATAGGAGTAAAATAGAAAATGAAGGTATCCTCCTATCACTTTTTCTTTAAGTGGTAATCACTATCCAGTACTTGGATTTTTTTTTTTTTTTAAGAGAGTGAGCAAAGCTTCCCCAAAGGGAGAGAAAAATTGAACAGATTTGAGAAACATACACAAAGGACGAAAATGATGTTTTCCTGCTACCCGCTGGGAAAGTTACTAGAATTAGTAGAATCCTCCTGTTCCTTCCACACAAACGATACCCAGACTAGGAGCTCCCGTTTCCGTCACCCCCACTGCTTGCCCAAGTTACCTGTGGAAGCTGATGTTAATGTGCTTGTTGTAGGTAGTAGCACAGCCCGCCGCGGCGCAATTGGTCGGCATTTCTCTTTCCCCCTCATTCGGCGCTGTCTTAAGCCTGTTCTGAGGCGCTGGATGCTAAACTTCCTTCTGGCAAAGGCTGGACAATCGAGGCAGGCGAAAGGCCCACTGAGCTTAGTCGTGAGAGTTGTGTGGGGAAAAAGGGGTGTGTATGTGGAGGGGAGGGGGAGGACGAGGAAGGGTCAACCTTCCCTTTCTCTTTATTAATATGGAGGACTTGAGCCAGCAGAGCTGACAGTCGTGGAGCTCCAGTCGCCTCCATTTGCCTTCACCAACATGGCGGACACAACCCGTTCCCTCTCCTTACCCCCAAAAGAGAGTAGGTCCACTGCGTCTCTTTGGCAGCGGCCCCGGAGCAATTAAAAGGAAGAGGTTGTTTTCCCCTCCGATTATGTACCATGAAACTCTCGGAAGGTTACAGCCAAGAGCAGATCGGCCAACCTCTCCACACACCTATCTGTCCCAGTCCAGAGCCTTGAGTGGGTGTGAATCGTAGTCCAGAAGAAAAAAAAAAAAATCGGGTGAGAGACAAAGACTACAAATCCCAGGAAGCATCGCGTTGGCCTCATTGTTATCGCGTGAATGGGAGTTTCGTTTCCTACGTATCGCAGGAAGTGACGTCTCGGACACAGCCGCTTTAGAGCCCCTTTCTCGCGAGGCGGAAGATCCCGGATCGCTGAGGTGCAAGGGGGCGCTAGGAGGTGGAACTGGGTTGCGACGGTCCGACGAGAAAGAGCTGGGGTGCGGGGAAGTTGGGGAGCAGAGCCCGCTAGTTGTCCGTATAGGGGTAAGGCCGCAGTGACCGGGTCCTTTAAGAAAGGGAGCCGAGGAGAAAGGGAACCGTGGGGCGGATCCCAGGACGGAGGGTAAGGTTGTGTGGAAGGCGCTGCTCCCCGGATGGCGGCTGTGGATACTCCGGCCCTGGCCTCCAGCGGCCTCTCGCCGAAGGAAGAAGGGGAGCTTGAAGATGGGGAGATCAGTGACGACGATAATAACAGTCAGATACGGAGCCGGAGCAGTAGCAGTAGCAGCGGCGGCGGGTTGTTACCGTATCTGCGGCGAAGGCCAACTCACCCGGCCCGGGGCGGTGGATCCGGCGGAGGCGGTGGCTCTTCCTCGTCATCGTCCTCTTCTCAGCAACAGCTGAGGAATTTCTCACGCTCGCGGCACGCGTCGGAGCGGGGCCACCTCAGGGGACACAGCAGCTACCGACCCAAAGAACCGTTCCGGTCTCACCCGCCCTCCGTGCGGGTGCCTTCGAACTCACTGACCGAAAGCAGCCCCCGGCCGTCTTTCTGGGAGCGGAGCCACATCGCCTTGGACCGTTTCCGCTTTCGAGGCAGGCCTTACCGGGGTGGGAGTCGCTGGAGTCGGGGGCGAGGAGTGGGTGAGCGAGGAGGCAAGCCAGGGGGCAGACCTCCTCTGGGAGGAGGAGCGGGATCCGGATTCAGCAGCAGTCAGAGCTGGCGAGAGCCCTCTCCACCTCGGAAGAGCTGTATCCTTAATGTGGCGGTCTGCCCTGGGTGTGTCACTAACTAAAATTCCCTTTAGCGTAGGTCTGTGAGATGAGTGTAACTTTTGTGAATCATCAGACCGCTTATTGGTCCCTGTGTCCAATGCTTAAAGTAAGTTGTTCTTTGGTAATTCCCATGTGTCACAGTGTAGCGTGTTTCTTAAGATTTATTGCTTTTTAACAGCGTGTTATGGATTGGAGTAAGGTAGTGGAATCTTTGACAGTCAAGTTAGATTTGAAGTAGTACATCAGAAACTCAAGTTTGATTAGCATTTGTATTTTGCTGGTACAGGAGGTTTGTATTTTATTTGAAGTTGACTTAGGTTGTTAAAGGGAGAAAAATAGTCGTAAATACTGTTGCTTATATCATATTGCATTTTGACATTGAAAATTGTAAACTTTCATTATGCATAATCCTCCTGTTCTTGTGATTCTATTTTTTTTATTTTTTATGTTTTAT